GCCTGGCAGTCTTTGAGCACCCAAGAATGGAGACACAAGTAGAGAGATTCCTGCCAAGGAGTACCAGAAGTCAGGCCTGGATCCGCTTTGACAAACTGCATCTGTGTCTCAGAGGCCATCCTGGGCCCTCACGATGGACCACTTGTTCCTCCAGACTGGCAGGCATCTCATGGGGTGAGGGATGCTCTGGAACAACCGTTAAGACACCCCCATTCCAGGGACATGAGCCCCAGAGCATCGGGCTTCAAGGTTCCGAAGGGTTAGAGCAGTTCCCCATTCGTCCCCTGGCCCCTTGGACATTGCTTGTGCGGCCTGGTGTCTGCTGTGTGGCCCTTGGCTCCGGTCACCTTCAGCTAGTCTCTCTTGTCACCGGAACAACTTGCCTTTGGACGTCTGCCCTTCAGTCTGGGGCAAGAGGGGACAGAGTTCCACAGACAGATGGGCATTCTCCCCACAGCTTCTAGGACGGCCCAGTGACAGCCACTGTTCCTGCTGGACACTTCCTGCCCACTTGCCCAGCCGGTCTGTGAGCTCAGCAGATGTAAAACACGTCTTGCCAGGGACCAGCTCCCTCACTAGAGCTAAGTTAGACCAGAGACTGTGCGAGGACAGTGGGTGTGGACAGCTTCTGAGGATGTCCCACACTCAGATGGGTTGTGGCCACCAAGTAAGACTTGGGGCTGTAGTCTGGACCTCCTGACCACCAGGTGGGTTGGGAAGTATAGGATGTAGGCCTGGTTAGTCAAGGCCAGGTACCCTGGGCCCCTAACCTCACCCCCTAGCCAGAGTTCCCTGAGCTCTCCACTCCCAGCCATGGTTTCTTCTTCCACCTGACTCTACCACACTGTACCTGAGGCATCTTTCACCCCACCCCCTCATTTCCCATGACATCAGCAAGCACAGGCATCAGGTGGGGTGTCCCTGAAGGCTGTTTAAAACCCACAAGTTGGCCGGGCGGTGGTGGCGCACGCCTTTAATCCCAGCACTCTGGAGGCAGAGCCAGGCAGATCTCTGTGAGTTCGAGGCCAGCCTGGGCTACCAAGTGAGTTCCAGGAAAGGCGCAAAACTACACAGAGAAACCCTGTCTCGAAAAACCAAAAAAAAAAAAAATAAATAAATAAAAATAAATAAATAAATAAAACCCACAAGTCAGGAAACCAGGTCCCTGTTGTGGACATGGACCTGGCCAGTGTCCGTCTTCTGAGTTATGGGTTGGTGACCATCAGTGCCCTTGGCTCATGGGAACAGTCCCTTCCTGGCATCTAGAATGTGACTTACCTCCGGGATGATGATTAGAGTCCCCTGAGCACCGGCAGGCCCAGGCCCACAGTCTCCTGGTTGTCTGTGGCCAAGGACAAGTCATATGGTAGGCTGGGTACCTTCTCTCCAAAGCAGAGGGCAGGGTGGTTGGTCTCTGCAGGTAGGACTTCCTTCTTCTTGGCTCTCCCAGTTACCCAGCCTCCCCCAATCTGGGAAGCATATGTAGGCCAGCCTTGGCCAGTGCAGAGCAAGTGGATCTCTGGGAAAGCCATTGCAAAGGAACAATGTAACGTTTCTTGTTCCCCTTACCATTTTCCTTCTGCCGGGTTCCTGCCTGCCTAGAAAGAAGGTGAATATGATCGCCGGGGCTTTTGCATCTGTGTTAGCATGCCATGCATGGAGCTGACATCTCGGCCTGTGGGCGACAGTGGGCAACCCTCCAAATTTCTCATTGATAGGAGACCACACTGCACTTGAGGCACCAGATTTATGTGTGGGTTTCAAGCAGCTTGTACCAAAGGCTGGTAGCTGACCAATGGCATCTCATGCTTCCTTGCAATTCCTGAATGGATGACATCTCAGTCTGTTTGCAATTCAAATACCATGGGCCAGTGTCCTGTCCCTAGGCAGCCTAGGGTGTGCCCCCGATCCTCTGGAAAGAAGAGCACAGGGCCCAGGCTCTGGGGTCTCAGGGCAGCTACTCAGCCTCCCCCTTCAAGATTTCCTCTGTATCTCCCAGAATGCTCTGTGTTCTTCCTGCTTCCTGAAGGGCTTGTTCACACCCAGAAAACACGGAGAAGGGCTGTCCACAGGTGAGGCCAGGCAGATAGTGGAATGAATGGGACAGAGTTTAGAGGGGACTCTGCAGAGGAGGAGCAGGCCCTGAGGACAGGTAGGACTACAGGAGCTGGTGGCTGAACTACAGGGCATGTGCGGATCCACTCCAAAGGGAGGATGGAAGCTGCTCCTTCCGACAGGCCCAACCTCCGGCTGAGCTCCCGACGGGAATCCAGAAGCCAAGAATACTAGTAGTAAGGACCACCGGGTGTGGGAGGGGCTCTGCTAGCCAGAAACTTCACTCAGGAACCTCTCCCGAGGCTTCCTTGTTCTGAGAACCCTGCTATCACACAGCATATAGCCACTTCCTGGGGGAGGACAGGGGACTCAGAGTCCCAGCATGCGACATACGTGGCAAGTGAATCCAATTACTCAACCCAAGGCCTCAAAGTTGAGTACTGCTTCAAAACACCCAAGGGAGCCTAGACATGTATTACTCACCCCGTCCTCGGCTGTCGTAACTGGGGACAGGGTCCACACCACCTCCAGACAGTAGCCTGTCTATAGACTGAGGGTAGAGAAGAGCAGGGGCCTGCTGCTCCTGATTGATTAACCAGCTCCCCACGCACACTCACCCATCACTGTCTTCAAGGAGGACAACGATTGGTAACCTCCTCCCCACTAGACTAGAACGAGGTCCCTAAGACAGCTTCAGACACTGACACAGATGTTTCCTGCAGCCTGTATGCTTGAGTATCTATACCTGCGAGTGTGCACCCAGTGTGGGTACGGTGTGAGCCGGCACATGTGGACCCCGCGCACGCGTGGTGTGACCGCACCTGTGTGTGGAGCTGTCCGACCTCTGGCCCTGCAGTAGGCTGGACTGCTGTAGAGGGCCGGCTGCCCGGTCTGCCTGAGGGCCAGCGCTGTCCCCGTGACATCAAGGGCTTTGCGACTCGTGCCTCCCACACACCTGAACCGTAGGTATCAGGTCGAGTAAGGACTTGGAGAGCTGGAGGAGAGGGCAGTCCCCGGCCGAGAAGCAGGGAGCTCAGCACTCAGGCTGGGTGGGTCAGGAGGGAGGCTCTCCCCACAGACCTCAGTTTCCCCCTGCTGTGGCCTTCTCTTTCAGATAGTCTGGACTGCAGGGACAAGGAGGCCACTTGTACTCCACAGGCATGGCAGACACTCCTTGGCCTTTGAGTCTGTGAGACTATGAAGAAAATTTTAGATTCGGAAATACAATTGTCAATTTTTAAAAAATGGTTTACTAGAAATGGTTAACTTTCAGTGTTGTAGCATTCTTAATCCTGAGGCGGATTGAATCCATACTAAGATGGCCTTATAGCTGTTCTAGCCCACATTAGGTTCGGAAGAAAAACACTTTAAACTGGGGCTCTACTTAAAATAAGGTAGGCGGGGGCTGAAGAGATGGCTCAGTGGTGAGGAGCACTGGCTGATCTTACAGAGGACCTGTTCAATTCCCAGCACCCACAGGGCGGCTCCCAACCATCCGTAACTCTAGTTCCAGGGAATCTGACACCCTCTTCTGAACTCCACAGGCACCAAGCATACTATAGTTGTTGTTGTTGTTGAGACAGGGTCTTGCTGTGTAGCCCAGGCTGGCCTCAAACTTGTGGCAAACCCCCTGCCTCAGCTTACCGAGCGTTGGGATCACAGGTGTGTCCCACATGACTCCATATACCCAACTACATCTGCAATGACTCCATTTCCAAATTTGCCCACTCTTGACTCTTTCGGGAGTACCAAGTTTCTCAGGACACTGGTCTTGGCATCTGGCACCTGGGTTCTAGCATTTCGTGAGCAGTCTGTGGAACCCCACTGGGTTGGGAGGTGAGGTGACCGTGATACTGGAGAGCCAGGGGCCTGAGGGAGTGATCTAGCAGCCTGAGGGTGCAGCTGAGGCCAGGGCCTCCATCTGCTGCACGCTGTACATACACCTATACAGTGTACCCTTTGTTTCATACTAGCTGTTTCTTTTCCCACGGGCTGGAAGCCATGGACAGTGGGTAGAGGGCACTTTATGTGCCCTGTCATTAGATGAATGAATGATGGAATAAATGGGTGGCGGGCGCTTCACCTTTCAAACTGCCCACAGCCTCCCTCTGCTCAGGAGCCCCCCTTTTCTGCTGCCAGGGCCACGGTAACCTAGACCTCATTTGGTTATGTTAGGTGAAGGACGAGACTCCAGGAGGCCTGACCTGAATGGAGGGTGCTGGGATGTGTGAGACACAGGCATATTCGTGACTCCCAGGCTGTGCAGCAGCCCAGGGCCGACACCCCACAGGCTTCTGTGCTGCCTAGAAGCCAAGTGTTGAATAAACACCAGGCACATTTCTTCTGGAATGTTCCCTGAACAGCGATAACATCACCCTGAGACACTGGGAAGAGCTGGCTGCTGCCCAGGCCTTGTCTATACGTGGCTTCTGAACACGGCCTGGCGGCTGTGGGCAGGGAGGGCCCCAGCCTCCCGGTTCTCAGACACCCCCGTGGCCTGTTTCCAGGGAGCACTATCAGCGTGTGCTTCCAGGATGTTGTAGAGCCAGCTGGCTGTGGCGATATCAGGCCCAGGCCGGCCTCCACATCCTCTTTGAAGTCTCTCTTGTGTCTGGCCTGAGCCCTAGCCCTGAGACCACCTACCTCATTTTTTTTTTTAAACATGTATTTTTATTTTATGTGGATGGGTGTTTTGCTTGTATGTATGTCTGTGGATCACGTGTGTGCCACCATGTGCTTGTACCAGGGCTGCCTCCTGCTGTCTCCTGTTCCCACTGTCTGATTGCCTCGACCTTTCCTTGGTGGCAGCCCAGCGTATCCTGGGCAGAGTGTGGCTGGAGAAGCCAGGCTCCACCTCAGGGAGGGAAGGACCAAGGCACTGCTGTGCCCCAGGGTCATTTCATCCACTATGTAACTTTCAAATCAGCACAAAAGCCAGGGAACTGTACATTTTCACAGAAATGTATTGCCATGTAATTCATTCTATAAAGATTAGGAAATAAAAAAACCCAGCAAACTCCCATCATCGACGCAGAGAGCTGCTTTCTTGGGATCTGCCTCCTGTGTCCATCCATGACCATGCTTTGGCTGAAGTGAAACGGCACTAATAGCCGATAGACCCCGAGTGCCCACGGGGTCTAGCCTCTGGCCAGCTGAGCGCAGCTCTGCTCTTATACACACGCTTATCTCAGGCCACTTTTCTGCAGCGATTCCGAGGTAGTCCCAGCAATGCCCGATGTCCTCTTGACTCCTCTCCTGCTCAGTCCACGTAAGTGTCCTCTGCTGGGCTGGCCCTGACCTGCTGCACCTGCCCTGTACAGGATGCTGGCCTGTGGAATGCTCTCCCGAGTAGGACCCTGAAGGGTGGTCCTAGGTTCCGCGGCAGGCATCATGAAAAGGTGCTAGCCATGGCAAAACTGGAGTCATTTCAAGTCGCAGCACAGAAACCTCAGTACAGAGAGCGTGATGAAGATGGGAAGCCTTCTAAGTCGTACCAGCCACACTGGATGGCACTCACACCACAGGTGGGTTTAGGCACACACGGTTTCTCTTAATGAGAACCTATTTCCCCCAGCAAGGCAGCCCCAGTGTCTCAGTAGATGGCTGAAATGGCCTCTGATAAAGGGAACTTGAGTCTGTGTCCAGGCCTGGTCACTTTTTGTTTAAATTTATTTGGTTTTTTTAGACAAGGCTTCTCTGCGTAGCCCTGGCTGTCTAGAACTTGCTCTGCAAACCAGGCTGGCCTTGAACTCAGAAATCTGCCTGCCTCTGCCACACCCAGCTTAGGCCTATTCACTCTTACCCACTTCCATTCACCAAGTGACCTATGATTCTACACCAGGACTGGGGCCTCATCTGTTCTGCCCAGACAAAGGGCCCAGGCTCCACTGCTGCCGACTCCCCATCATGGGAGCTGGGAACCTATGAGGATGGGGCCTGAGCATTTGGGTCCCCCTGTAAAAGGCTAGGGACCACCTGGGGGGCATGAGGAGTCACATCAGCACCCCCCAGATGTAAGCTGGGTCAGTTGGGTGACGGGACCTGTGGGTGTTGCGCTCCCCTTTCACATCCTGAGAAGCCACTAATGCCTGACCCAAGTCCACTTTTCCACCCAGCCACGTGATAATGGAGCTAGGCCTGTTCTATCTCCAGGCAGGACCACCTGCCTCCCTGGTCACAGCAGTAAACGGCAGCAAGAAGCCTGGGCTGAGAGAGGCCAAAGCCACAAGAAGGTGTGGCCTGGATGAAGGCAGATGATGTGAGGGACAAGGTGGCCAGCTGGGGTGCCCCGCTGTGACCAGGATCCCAAACAGAGCTGGGGAGGAGTGCCGAGGTCTCGGGGATGGAGCTACTTGACAGGTTTCGTTTCACACTGGTGCAGACCCTGCAAATCCTCACATGACCAGCCACTCCAACTCTGCCCCCCTAGCTGGGGACCCTGGATTTGTTCTGCAGAGGACCAGGACAGCTGTCCCAGGGTCAGCTCAGCCTTGGAAATGCAGGAGCAGCTGGCTCCAAGTGAAGGGAAGCCACAGAAGGGCTCCAGGCCACGGAAGCCACAGTCCATAAGTCACTTTATTTGTCCTCACCAGCAGCTCTTCCTTCCCCCTCCCTAGGTCTCAAGGCTGGTTAGGCAGCCACGCAGGTACAGGACAGGGTTCAAGAGCTGCCGGCACCTCTACCCACACGTGAGTCCTCTGGATCTCATGGCACGCACTGTCCTGGTCAGAGCTGTTTGCCACCTTCCAGCTGCATCTGGTGGGCCAGTTGTCGCCCGATGGCCAGCAGGGGACTGGCTCTGTAGGATGGGCTGGCCAGCAGCTCCCGAAACCGAGTCCTTTCTTCCTCACTGAAAGAATGGAAAGCAGAAGTCACCCGGGGAGAAGAAGAACCCCCAGGATGCACATGACAGGCCCAGGCCTAAGGCTTGAGCAGACAGCAGGGGCCCAGAGTAAGCATAAGTACAGTGCCAGGGCCTCCAGAGGCAAGGGCACGCGGGCTGCTGAGTGAGCATCAACCACGGGTGGGGTCACCCTCCCGGTAGGTCTAAGAGGGATTTGCTAAGGGCTGCTGCCAAGGCAGAGGCTGACAAACAGGGAGCAGTGGCAGCTCACATGCCCTGAAGACAGCCTTATATAAGAGGTGCCTTTCCCCCCAAATAGCCCAAAATAGATGCGCACAGAGAGCTCTGAGCGGCGGTGAGACAGAGACAGCTATGGACACAGGCAGCTCCAGGGTCTAGGGCCTTAGTGATCCTCATCTCTCAGACATGCAAGAGCCTTGGCTGTCAAGTCCCCCCATCCTTTCTCTCCCCTCTCCCCCAGCATGGCCTCCTTCAGTAGAGCCTGGAGACACCAGCCTGTGCTGCTTCCGAATGCAATGCCCGTCAACAGACAAGGTGTGGTGGTTTGAATGAAAATGGCCCCATAGGCTCATGTCTGAATTTCTGGTGGAATAATCTGGGAAAGTGGAACTTGGAACTACCTGGGAAAGATTAGGTGTGGCCTTGCTGGAGGAGGCATGTCACTGGGGGTGGGCTTTGAGGTTTCAAAAACCCACACCAGGCTCAGTCTCTTTTTCTCTACCTGCTGCCTGTGGATCAAGATGTAAAGCTCCCAGCTGCTGTCCTAGCACCATGCCTGTCTGCTCCCCACTTTGATGATGGTGGACTAAGTCTCTAAAACTGTAAGCAAGCCCCCAGTTAGACGCTTCCTTTTATGAGCTGCCTTGGTCATGATGTCTCTTCAAAGCACTAGCAGAGTGATTAAGACAGATGGATGCTGGTGTGCAGCAACAGAAGAAGCTGTAGGGATGCGGCACATCTGGCAGGCAGAGCTACTGCTCGTCCCAGCCATGGTGCAGAGGGAGCTGCCCTGGTCCAGGCTAGCCTACAGCAGAGGCACGGGAAACAGTGACTGCCAGAGAGCAGACACTCAGACGGATGCTTGCCTGGCAGGAGCTGTCTATACTAGCTGCCTTCAGACAAAGCTGTTGAGAAAGATGTATGTTCACAAGAGAGGGAAACAAGAACAACACACACAAGCCCAAAAGAGTCAAGTGAAGATAGATTTAGGGGTAAGGAAGAGATGAGGACACCTGAAATGGAGCTCTGAGGCTGAGACCTGGGAGTTAGTCCACAGGACAGGAATGGGGCTAGCGGGGCCTACTGCCTGGCTCTGGAATTCTAGCTGCTCAGAAGGCTGACACAAGAGGATAGCAACTGCAAGGCCTGCCTTGGTCAGAGAGAGCGAGTTCAAGACTAGCCTGGGTAACTTAATAAGAACCTCCCTCAAAAACAAGAGTCGGGCAGTGGTGGTGCACACCTTTAATCCCAGCACTGGGAAGCAGAGCCAGGCGGATCTCTGTGAGTTCAAGGCCAGCCTGGTCTACAGAGTGAGTTCCAGAGTAGCCAAGGCTACACAGAGAAAAACCCTGCCTCAAAAAATGAAAACAAACAAACAAACAAAACAAACCCCCCAAAAACCAAACAAACACGGGAAACAGGATGTATCTCAGCTGTAGCGCTTAGTATGTACGAGGCTCTGGGTACAATTCCCAGTCCTGGGAAGAGGGGTGAGGCTGTAAAATTCAATACAAATTTCCCAAACCAAGAGTAATCTTTAAAAGACTTTAACCTATACACTGAGAGGGCACAAAGAGCTTCAGGAAAAACTGACAGAACACTCAACACCACTAAATAACAGAGATACTATATAGACAAGGAAAAACATCATTCTGGAAACAAAAACAAAACAAAACAAATAAACAACAACAACAAAAAATCGATGTGTGAGTGTGAGATTGAAACTGCCTCAGAGTCCCCCAAAGCCAGCACACCACTGCAGCCAAGTCTGCAGAAGCTAAAAAATCGGAGCCAAGAATCCCATGGCCAAGCTCACATCTTAGAACAATGTCAGTCACCAACAGGACAATCCTGCTAATTTAGGGACAAGGTGTGGGGGATATGTGTGTCTAACCCATGGTAAACACATGCCCCAGCCACCATCCCAGAGGCCCAGGGAAAACTAAGTTCCACACACCAGACGCTGTCACCACTCCCTGGAAGCACTCCAGACAGGCGCCCAAGGCCTAACTACAGGACAGAGAAGAGGGTGGGAGGCTCTGGGTCAGGTAGGGTGGCAGGGTTGTAGATGAGGAGATCGGGAAGAAGGCTCTGGTGGCCCTGGCGGACAGGGCTGTACTCACAGGAGCTGCTGTCGCTGGGCTGTGCTCATCCGGCTAAGCTCCACTGGCCTGGGCTTGCTGGTCACCCTGCTGTGGACACAGAGAATCCAAGTCAGTCTGACACCACATCTCACTAGAAAATTTGTCTCAAGCCGGGTGGGGTGGCACACGCCTTTAATCCCAGCACTCGGGAGGCAGAAGCAGGAGGATCTCTGTGAGTTCCAGGCCAGCCTGGGCTACAGAGTGAGCTCCAGGAGAGGTGCAAAAGCCACACAGAGAAACCCTGTCTTAACAAACAAACAAAAAATTGTCTCTGTGGTGCCCCTGGTGTCTACACCACCAGGAGTTCATGAGTTCCACACTGTACACTGGCTGTGGAGATTAGATCTAGATGAGCCACATCACCTGGCTACCATATCTGAGTTAACAATCACATTACCTAGGGTCTTGTCTTACTCCCTAAGGTTCCCATGTGATACAGAAAGGACTATCACCCCAGGAAAACACATCACATTTGGACCCCAAGTCTGCCACCTGCCCAACCTGAGTGGAGAAGCCTTCTAGGCGACAGCCTGCCCCGGACTCTTTACTTCACTAACTCTAAAAACACAGCACTCCCGACAAGACACAAATGCCTGACATCTGTCCCCTCACTTCTGATGAGAGAAGACAGGGCTCTGCTGATAGAGGTCTGTGGCAACTGCCTTCCAATGTGACCTTAGGAGTCAGAAACAAATCTCATGTCTGCCCTACAGATGTCAAAGTTCACTGAGGGGCCTTCTGGGCCAAGAGGGTCTTGCCTGCCAACCCCCAGACAAGAGTCATCTGAGAAGATTCTCAGGGCCTTCCACACTACCACACTGGGTCTGACATGGTGGGTAAGTTTGAGAGCCCAGGGTTCGGTGCCAGGCAGCATTCCTGCAGATTACCAGGAACTGATTCAATCTTTGGGAGGGCAGCAGAAGCATGCCCACCCACCAGCAAGGGACCTGGGGGCGGAGGAGAGGAAGATCCCAGAGCTCACCACCTGAGAAGATGATTTCAGAGATGCCATGCTGAAAGAGTGAAGCCCTGAGCGGGAGGCAGCCAGAGAAGGACGGAGAGCACCATGTTCTAGACCAACACCTAATTTAGAATCCTGAGCAGGAGGCCTGATCTCCTATTCATGTTCCTTTTCAAATATGAATGAACGACTTTGGTCTCAATGCATTCTCACATCCTGGTTTTCTGGTCCTCCTGAGTAAGGAATGCATGCAACCCTTTCCCTGCCCCAGTCTGTGAGGATGGTGACCTCATGCCTGTTTGCTCAGTCCTTCCAGAGGCCCCAGAATCCACCATGGAATGAGAAGAAGTAACTAAGCAGTGGTGGCCAAGGCCTCCAGGCCAGCCTGGAGAGGAACACTGCCTCAGGTGACCCAGCTAGGTAGCTCCCTCAGCCTCATTGGCTGGATGATGGGGAAAGTCACCCTAAATGCAGTCCAGAGCTTCTCTGAGTATGGTGGCGGTTGCCCAGGTCTCACAGAACTCTGTGCATGGGCACGGAGAAATCCTGAACTCAGACACTGGAAGCGAGAACACAGCCTAACTAACCCTGTGAAGTTCTTCCACGGGCAGACGGTGGACTTCCTAGAGCACAGCCCCATATGGTGTTTCATAACTGGAAAATTTAAAACTAGTAGATTTCCAAACATACAACAGTCAAAAATAGATTCAAAACCAAATGCAAAATGAATCCAGGGTGTTTTTGGCAGAGTCTGCCTGAGCTGCATCATGCACCTTTACTTCAGCCTTGGTCCTGAACGTACCCAGGATGCAATGCCAACCAGCACTGCCCTCCTCAGCTGGGATTCAAGACTGTTACATGGGAGGCGTGGCAGTGTTCCTCTTGTACAAGGTTTCTGGCTCTCGGAGAAGTATAACGGTATAACCACGCAAACAAAGCCTTGTAATATATCCTTATCATTCTTCACGCCCGTGTCAAATCAGGCTGCCTTTGCATTGCATTTTTTGAATCCTTGATTTAAAAACTGCTGTTTGACAATCTAGATGCCCCTCAACTGAAGAATGGATAAAGAAAATGTGGTACATTTACACAATGGAGTATTTCTTAGCTGTTAAAAACAAGGACACCAGGAAATTTGAAGGCAAATGGATGGAACTAAAAAATATCATCTTGAGTAAGGTAAGCCAGACTGAGAAAGACAAAGATGGTATGTACTCACTCATAAGTGGGTATTAGCTACAAAATAAAGGATAACTATGCTTCCAGAGAGGCTAGGTAACAAGGAGGGCCCAAAGGAGGATGCATGGATTTCCCTGGAAAGGGAAAATAAAAGAGATTTCATGAGTGGACTGAGGGCAGGTGGGGATGGAAACATGAGCGACTGAGGGGTACAGAAGGGGAGAGTACTGAGAGAGACTACTGGAAAGGGGGGGCATTTCGGGATCAGGTAAAAAAAAAAAAAAAGGGAATCTCCCAGGAATCTACAAGGAAGACCCTAGCTAAGACTCCTGGCAATAGCAGATATGTAGCCTGAACTGGCAGTCTCCTGTGACCAGACTGGTGCCTGGCCCAAATGTCATCAGAGAGGCTTCATCCAGCAACTGATGGAAAGAGATGCAGACCCACAGCCAAACATTAGGTGGAGCTGAGTGAATGCTGCAGAAGAGAGGGAGGAAGGATTGTAGGAGCCAGAGGGGTCAAGGACACCACAAGAAAACTCACAGAATCAACTAACCTGGGCTTATAGGGGCTCACAGAGACTGAACTGACAACCAGGGAGCCTGCATGGGACTGACCTAGGTACTCTGCATTATGTGACAGTTGTGTAGCTTGGTCCTCTTGTGGGACTCCCAACAGTGGGAACAAGGGTTGTCTCTGACTCTTTTACTGGCTTTTGGGACCCTACTCCTCCTACTGGGTCACCTTGCCCAGCCTTACTACATGGGGAGGTGCTTAGTCTTACTGCAACTTGATATGCCATGTTTTATTGATACTCATGGGAGACCTGCCCGTTCCTAAACAGAAACAGAGAGAAGTGGTTTGGGGAGGCACTGGAAGGGGAAACTGTTACTGGGATGTAAAATAAATAAATGAATGAATAAATAAATAAATAAATTTAAAAAGGAAAAAATTGCTGCTTGAGTTGCTGACTTGAGTTTCATAATAGATAGATAGACGGATGGATGGATGGATGGATGGATGGATGGATGGATGGATGGATGGATGGATGGATGGATAGAGACAGACAGACAGAGATGGGTGGATGGATAGACAGATAGATAAATAAATAAATAAATAAATAAATAAATAAACAAACAAACAAACAAACAAAACATTAAATGAAATTTTGTTTGAGGTTAGAACATAATTTCCAGCAGTTTCTGAAAAAGCCCTACACATACTTTCACCATATATATGTTTACTATGTGAGATATCATTCTCAGCACTTATGATTATAAAACAAAACTGTTGATCAACTCAAAAATACTAAAGATACTCTACATCCTTAAGTATCAGATGTACAGTCAGGATTTTTTTTTAAAGATTTGTTTTTATTTTTACTTATGCGTAGATGGATGTGTCTGTGAGTGAATGCCATGAGTGCAGGTGTCCCTGAGGCCAGAAGAGGGCGTCAGATCCCGTGGAGCTGGAGTTACAGGTGGCTGTGAGCCACTCAGCGTGGGTGCTGAGAACTGAACCAGGGCCCTCTGCAAAAACAACAAGCACTATTTTTTTTTTCGAGACAGGGTTTCTCTGTGTAGCTTTGTGCCTTTCCTGGATCTTGCTCTGTAGACCAGGCTGGCCTCGAACTCAGAGATCTGCCTGGCTCTACCTCCCGAGTGCTGGGATTAAAGGTGTGCGCCACCACAGCCAGGCTGTTCTAGAGAATTTGATCTCTCATAAGTAGGCTGGCTGGTGACAGCGTGGTCTGCAGTCCACCTCAGGAATCCTGCAGACCCTCCAGCCCAGCTCCAGTGAGAGAGCTGCCACTACAGGGGAACCTGGAGGGTATTGTGAAGACCTTCAGGCCATTCTGTTACACAACAGTACTAGGCCACACCATGGACTTGCAGTAGACCAGGTCATGGTGATATGGGAGAGGGTCACAGGATTGTCCCACATAAAGTCCCTTTGAGTCTACAACATGAGGATGTGACTGGTGGGCAGAAAGTGTGGTCATCTAGACATAGCACCTTCCTTCCCATAGTGAAGAGCACTGCCCTGAACAAGGCCAGTTTAACATAGTAAAGACATACGTGGGGCCTGAACCCCCACAGGCCAGGTAGGCATTAGATGGCCAAGGGGCTGGCAGGGGCAGGTATGAGAATAGTGGGCAAAGGCAGAGTTACTGGCATAGTGAGCATCCCCAGCTCCAGTCCTCGGTGCACAAGCCCAGCCCTCGGTGCTGGGTGAGCCTCCCATCCTGATTTCAGCTCTGCCTCTGGGACTCCCCATGCTCTGCTGTCTGTCTCTTCCCTTTACTGTACAAACCATGACCATTTTATACCAGCTCTTTCTGAGACCACTGAATCCTTCTAGAATTACCAAAGTTGAATGTATACCTGCAGTTGCCAGAGTGAGGAACTGTGGTTCTCCTAACTCTGAGTGCATATTCTCAGGTTGGCACGTGGACTGGAGCATCTACTCTGTTATAAGTAAGAATCTGGAGTGACCTGCACTCCAGCCTCAGATCCTGCTATCTGGCATCATTCTCCAAGGCAAGGGACCAAGCTCCTTGGAGAATCACCTGGTACCAGGACCAGGCAGAAGATGCCCAAGGTGAGCTCCCAGCATCTACTAACATCAGAAGGTGAGGAAGCGCTCAGACACACCCACCCCACAGATGGGCAGATCTGAGCCATCTGGGACCTACTTTAAGAAATGCCGGTGGCCATTGCTGGAACAATTTCAGCAATAAATGAAGTAGTATTGGATGATAGCCCAAAGCATAAAGTAAACACTCATGAGTCTATAGATAAACCAATGATGGGTAAATACTCAGGGAAGAGGCAAAGCTCCCTCTTCAGCAGAACCCACGATTCTGCAGACCCTGTCCCTAAGGAGAGGGAGCATAGCTCCCCACTCTGGGCCCAGTGTGGCCAGTTCCTTTCCAAAGGCACAACATGGAAGGGGTCAAAGCCCAGCACAATGAGAATCCTGGGAAACACACCTCCACTTCATGGTCAGTGATGAGTGAGGCTAGCAGTGTGTGACTGGATAATGTCATGAAGATGGCTGCAATCTGCATGAGCTTCCTCCTAGCAACCCAGGTCTTCTCTACTCTCAAGAAAACATGGGGCATACTTTAATGGGGGATGGTGTGAAGAATCTCAACTTGCTGGGTGGTGGTAGTGTACACCTTTAATCCCAGAATTCAGGAGGCAGAGGCAGGTGGATCTCTTAGTTAGAGGCCAGCCTGGTCTACAGTGAGTTCCAGGACAGCCAGGGATACACAGAGAAACCCTGTCTCAAATCATGACCCCCAGCTCCCCAAAAATGCTTGCCTCAGTCTGAAAAGCTCACAACCAGGAGGAGCCTGAGGAAACAGGAGGATCACATGTCAAGTTTCCTCCTGTAAATTACTATTTCATTTTGTGGTGTGCGTTCACATAGGTGTGTTTATACAGGTATGGACAGATGTGTGTGTGTGCAGGCACATGTGAAGGCCAGAGGTCAACCTCCGCCGTCTTCCTTAAAAGCTCCACCTCATTTTACTTGGAGCTCATCAATTTGGCTAGGCTGGCTGGCCAATGAGCTGCAGAAATCTTGCTGCCTCCACCCACGGGGCACAGGGTTACAGAGGCCATGTCCAGATTTTCACATGGGTGCTGGAGAGGCAAAGTCAGGCCAGCAAAAGTGCACAGCAGGGACTTTATAGACTGAGATGTTTCCTCAATCCCCTAATTACCGCTTTACATTTAGTATGTGAGGCAAAGTGCACGAGGTACATGTGCAACAGCATTCAGGGCTGGGACAAGATAGGAACCTTCTCTCCTCACAACTGAAGCGATTCTGAGCAGGCACACAGCCCCACACACTCCTCTCCGGGCTGGTAGAGCAGGCTGTTTACGCATCTCTCCCCATCGGGGAGCCCAAGCACATTTTTCAGATGAGAAACTATAAAGAGAGAAGGGACCCTTGACCAGGGTCACATTTTTTGCTTAAGAACCAGGAATGGAATCTGCATACTGGCTCTGTTCAGCAGTTGAGGCTTGACCTTGTGTCAGCGCTGAAGCAGGCCTGAGCAGAGTGGGTGTTCCATCTTGGGAAGCCAGCCCTTGGCCATCTGGCTCTATAGTATGTCATCCACCTGCCCCATGATAAGGATGAGGGATCACAGATGAAGTGCATGGAACCTTTGCTTTAGCCTCAGATGAAAATTCAGTAGGAGAAACAATTATTTGTTTAAAAGGTAAAATAACAAGTAACAAGCCTCGCTGGGTGGATCTCTGTGAGTTCGAGGCCAGCCTAGTCTACAGAGCGAGATCCAGGACAGGCACCAAAAGTACACAGAGAAACCCTGTCTCGAAAGCAAAACAAAAACAAGTAACAAGCCTCATGTGGTGGCTCACATCTACACTTGGAAGGCTGAGGCAGGAGGACTGCATTAAGTTCAAGGTTGGTCTGAATTACATAATGAGTTACAGACCAGCCTGGAGAGTGAGACCGAGTCTCACCCTCATCACCAACATCCTATAGATAGATAGATAGATAGATAGATAGATAGATAGATAGATAGATAGATAGATAGATAGATAGATAGATATGATGATGGTGAAAATAATAATATAATAATGATGATGATGATGGTAAAACAAGAAACAGGAAAAACCCCAGAAATGACAAACCCTGAAAGTCCGGCAGCTGTGAGAGCAGAGTGTCCTTGAAGCCCCCCACCTGCCCGGGGGTGCAGCTCTGCACTTGGAGAGCCCCTTGCCCTGTGCCCATTCTTCATCCTTCAATGCACACTGAGGATCCACACACTTAGGGCTGTGTGGGTTCCATGCCCACTCACTGAGTCTCCCCACAGAGTGCCCAGTTACAGACACTTATCCTCAGTAGGGGTCGGGGAGGGAGAAACAGAGGCAGGGGAAGGACTGAGAATGGGACATCAGAGCTGTCTGCAGGGTAGCAGGAAGGTCAGTGGATGCACAGCAGTGGCCACGAGGCCTGTGCCTGACTGTGTGCATAGGCTGGAAGCTGAGGCCAGTGGGAAGAAGGCACGAGGAGACACACAGTGGTGGGCTGCCAGGCTGCCAGGCTGCAGGCAGGGGTACATCCGGGCGCTCCTGTCACCACAATTACCACATTCACAGGCGAGGCTCCCTGGACCACATGTGCTGACCCACTCACCTTGCAGAGTGGGGGCCACCATTGACAGCTATCAATCCCTCCCTTCCCCTCTGAATCCAGGGCTGACCACAGCTCTCTGAGAGATGGCCAGCACAGGACGCTCGCTCACCTCCTGGTGTGCTGCCGACGGCTGGCCTCCAGTTCCTGCAGCTCAGGTAGGGCATCCCTCAGGGGGTGCAGGTCGCCCACCACCACCGTGGCCCTGCGCCTCCGCTCCTCCTTGAGCTTCTGCTCAGCCAGCTTTATGGCTTCGATTTCTGAGGGGAGAGACAGGAGTACATGCCAATTAAACCCATTCCCCAGCCGCCCCACAGAGGCCACCAATGCCAAGGCACCCACCACGCTGCGTGCGCCCTGGGCCTGTTTGTTCCCACAGAGCAGAAGTGTTCTTTGTGTCCCCGCTGTCACCTGCTCTGCGCCCCTCAAGACTTGGGGGGCGGGCCAGCGCTGAGTTATTTTTCTCTTCTTAATCACAGAGGCACACTTTAATTACAGGGCTGGCGATGAGCTTGGAGCTGCAGCACAAGAGACCGCCTCCTCTGCAAGGGGCACAGTGCAGGGCCTGCGCGCACACACACGGGGGCTGGCACAGGGACTGGGCAGATGCAGGCCCCGGGCTCTATTTCCATAGGCCACTCACTGAGAAGCCACAATGTCCCTTTTCTCCTGGGCAATCTAGAACCATGTGGCACCTCCTTGAGAATGCAAGGTGGGGAGAAAGGTCTCACGGGAAGGAACTGGCAGCCTTGGGGAACAACGGGGAGCAGGGTGGGTGGCCAGGTGGCATGCCAGCCAGCACTAATGTAAGAGGAAGTTCACTGCAGGGCACAGCCTTGGCATCTGATTTTCTTCAAAGTCACACGATACTTCAAATGTGGTGACCCTGACAGAGGGGGTGAGGCTACCAGCAGCTTCCCCTCAGCAAGGCACAGCAACTCTGCCACTCCCTACAACTGGGAAGCTCAGAAAGGCCCACATGGAGGTCCAGTACATCAGGGTCCATCACTTCACCCTGAGGCAAAAACAGCCATCCAAGCCCTCTGCCCAATGCAGCCTAAGAGACTGTGGACTTTTTGGTGTTTTTTTTTTTTTTTTTTTTTTTTCAGTCTAGCTGGAACAGAGCAAACAATTCACTTAGCACCTCATCAAGACCAGCCCCTCTTCCCTGAGCCAAAGTCTGGGGACTGAACTTCCCTGGCAGCTCTAGGGGCCACCCTCTCACACACGCACCTGGCAGACCCAGAGAAAGGACAGCAAGGCTCAGGAAGACATGCAGCCCAGACACACACAGCAACTCCAGGCCAGAGACGCCCAAACAGGGCGGTCCAGGGCGAGCAGGGGTAGTTTGGGGTCTGGAGGTTGTTGTAATCCACCATGACCCATGGCAGTGCCCGCTAAAAGGGGAAACCCTGGCCACTGGATGTGCCAGAGGAGATGTGGTCAAACTCACTATCTACTCGAGGTGAAAGTTACAATGAAGCCATAAACAGATCTAAGACAGTAAACACCTCATTCTACTGAGCTCCACAAGATGGGGCCGACGGACCCCAGTCTCCTGCACTCCCATCTGGCAGCTCACTGCTACCAGGGAGGCAGCGACAGAGGCGGAAGAAACAGCGAGGGGGTGGGGGGTGGGGGTCAAGGCAGATGTGCCCAGCTTCAATCCCTAACCCACAGTGCAAGAGGACTTTAACCACGCTGAGCTGGGAAAGCAATCTAAATCCTATTCTTAAACAAACGAAACAAAAACAAACCCCTCAAACGTCAGAGACAGGAGGATTAAAAGAAGTTCACGGTTTCCAGGACAGTCCAGGATATTCAGGACCCTGTCTCCAAAACATAGAAATCTCAATGTGAACAAAACATTATTTCAACAGAACAAGCAGGAAAGCAGAAAGCAGGTCTACTAACCCTCAAAACAAACAAGAATGGAGTCCAGAGCAGAGTACAGACCAAGACAGAGGAGTGGCCACACCGGCCGCTGCCCCTCGCTCCTGCACCGGAGGATGAATTACTTGAGACTCTAAGTAAGTAGAGAAGCACCAAAAGTCAAAACATGGTAAAGCCCCGAAGCACCGCCGGAATCCAGGGAAGGAATCACAGCCGTGAGGCGCAGCTTCTGAGCTACCAAACATCAGACGGGCACATCAAGTGTAGAGACGCTGCATGGGGCGAGTCGAGCTGTGGGTGGTGTGAAAGGAGTCTGGAGCACACCTGACCGGTCCACAGACTTTCAAGGGCCATCATGTTCAGAACACACCGCTCTAGGGAGGGAGACCATTCCTCAGGGATCTGGCACTGGCAGGGTTAAGTCAATAGGCAGAGTGGAGCAAAAAGGAGCAAGGGACAGGGCAAAGGGAAAGCTTGGGACAGTCCCTCACAGTGACAGCAATGACAGATACCGCTAAAGGTCCCAGAGAATCCAGGGTAGCTGCCAGACTAAGACATGACCTTAGCAAGATCACAGATGTAAGGTTGTTATTAAAAAAAAAAAAAAAAAAAATCACTTGTACTTTTACAACTTGGAGAAGTTTGTCCAAAACACAAAACACACACACACACACACACACACACACACACACACACACACACACACACACACACAGAGGAGAGAGAGAGAGAGAGAGAGAGAGAGAGAGAGAGAGAGAGAGAGAGAACATTTACAACACTGATCATGGAAATTAAGAAAACTTGGCATGTTCCTGGACTTGATTCGGTATTGGTGGCAAACCCTCCTGAAGCTGACCTACAGACTCAACACAACCCCAGTCATAATCCCTCCAAGCTTTGGTTGTTGTCTTTCAGGAAAATGAAAAAGTAACAGTAAAATTAAATGCACGTGCTGAGACCCAGAAACACCAGAGCATCTGAAGACCAAGGAGCAGAGGAGGCCTTGTGTGACCATTCACCTGCTGAAACTACTGAGATCCCAGGCCACAGCACAGCACGTGACTTTCAAAGGGACATTCCAAAGAGGAAAACAGTCTGCACCAGAGACCAAGGAGCAGAGGAGGCCTTGTGTGACCGTTCACCTGCTGAAACTACTGAGACCACAGGCCACAGCACAGCACGTGACTTTCAAAGGGACAATCCAAAGAGGAAAACAGTCTGTACCCAACTGTGGCAGGCCTACCCACCAACTCACAGCAGACAGACGCCACTTCAAGGTGGACACACCTAAGGACTAGCCGCTCTGGCACTTTCAGAAGGGAACATCTTTGTGACTCCGGATTAGGTGCTCTTTGGGGGATTTTGTTTGTTTTTGAGACAAAGTCTATTATATCGCTCTGGCTGTCCTGGAACTCACTATGTAGTCCAGGCTGACCTCAAACTCAAAGAGATCAACCTAGGCAAGGCTTTCTTAAACAAAACACACTATAACCATATGGAAAAAGAAATATGGGTTTGATTTTTTTTTTCAATTAAACTCCTGCAGTTAAAAAAAAAAAAAAAAAAAAAAAAAAAAAAGGCTGGGCAGTGGTGGCACACGCCTTTAATTCTGGCACCTGGGAGGCAGAGGAAGGCAGATCTCTGAGTTCAAAGCCAGCTTGGTCTACAGAGTGAGCTCCAGGACAGCCAAGGCTACAGAGAAACCCTGTCAAAAAAAAAGGTTAAGAAAATGAATGTGCAAGACAGTCTGCAAGAATACAGCACACATACACAGCTGACCAGGACCAGTAGGTCCCCAGAACACAGAGTTGATCAGGGTTAACAGGTTCCTAGCACAGCAGACCACCAGGGCCAGCAGGTCCCCAGAACACAGAGCTGATCAGGGCCAGCAGGTCCCCAGCACACACAGCAGACCAGGGCCAGCAGGTCCCCGGCACACACACACAGTCCCCAAGCTCAGTAATAAAACACAGAGCAGCTTGAGAAAACTGAACCTCACTGAAGATGAACCGCAAAGGAGATGGACATACATGACAGCACTCTTCCACAGAACAAAGACCAGCCGTCCATGAGATGTTAGCCCATGTCACCAGATACATGACTGGAGAAACACACACCACCGGTGAGCACGACTGTGTGGCCACTACAACTCTCATGCTCCTGGAGGGGCGCACATGAACTACTGCTTCAGAAGAATGTCTGGCAGTTGCTTATAAAACTAAACATACACCTGCCCTATGACCCAACATTCCATTCCTAAGTATTTACATAAGAGGAATAAAAACATGTCCACAGAAAGACTGGAACAAATGCTCACAGCCTTATTCACCCCAGACAAGATGGAAAGGCAGATACCCATCAATAGGGGACGGGGCAGCAATGGTGAACAGGAGTGTGATGCCTCTCAGCCATGGGTTGGCCATTGCTGCCAGCAGCGCAGCCTGCAGGAAGGCCGAGTACGGCCTGTGTGCATGCACTCCCAGGAGATAACTGCAAACCCAACCACAGACACGCTGGCCACAGCACCTCACCCTGGACAGTCAGGTGGCAGACGCAGCTGTCAGAAGTCACTGTTGTGCTAGGCACACGCTCTTCACAAGAGAACAGAGAAGATCACAGACAAGCCAAATGCTAGCCAACCTATTTGTGGGAAGTATACAAATGCCCCCAACTTGCTTTGAAACGCACTAAGATGCTGATGGGTGGACAGGGATGAACCAATGAATGGCTGTGAGATAGAGCAGTACAGTGCTAACTGAAGACGCAGCTAACGCTGTACTCGGAGGCTAGGAGTCAGACAGAAGCTACCAGTTCAAGAAGACGACAGCAGGACTAGGAATTCACAGCCAGGATTCTTGGACTAGAGAGGTGAAGCTTCTTAAGGAATCTAACCAGAAATAGCAGAACACAGATAAAAATAACAAGACAAAGTCAGCAGTCAACAGCTCTTCCTGAGGACCCAGGTTCAGTTCCCAGCAACCACCATGTGGCCCACAACTGGTTATAATCCTAGTTACAAGAGACCTGATGCCTTCTTTTGACCTCTGCAGGCATGTGGGCCAAACACTCATGCACATAAAAAGGTCTCTAATGAGAAAGCAGGGCTGGAGATGCAGCTCAGTGGCGGAACACTTGTCCAGCATGAGAAAGACCCTAGGTTCAATCCGTAGTACTGGAGGAGGGTGGGATGGAGGGGACAGAGGGAGGGAAGAAGCAACACACAGCCTTTTGCTAATAATGTCTGAGATACGATGAGATTAGACTGTTTTAGGAGAAATCATGAGCAATTAAAATTGACTCAATCGATTCAACCGGAAACAAAGTCTCACATCAAAGAACGACACCTCAGACATGGTCAGGTCCCACAGCTGAAGCTTTGGTGTTTTCTGCTCCACAGAGAACACACCACAATTGCTAGGAATTGTGAGAAAGTAAAGAGAGCAGCCAATTTCTTTAAAAATAACATCCCAAAAGTAACAAAATATAAAAGTAGTAATCATTGAGGAAACTGACCAATTTCTATAAATATTGCTTCCAAAAAACACCCTTTTATTTAGAGTTTTCAAGAAAAAAATAAGGTAAATCATACTTAAACATGCAAGAACATAAAGATGAAAATGTTCCAAATTAACTCCCAAGGTTGGCAGAATCACACTAAGAAGATAGCAGCTAAGGAAAAAAAAAAAATTACAAAGCAATCTATGCAATTTTCAAGTAAACACAAGAAAGCACTTAGGAAAAGTCGCACATAATCAGCATTATGGAAAAAACCAACTACCAAGGGCAGGAGGGGAGCGAGGAAGAGCTGCCCCATCTGCTCCAGACGCCTGACTGGGGACCAAGACCAAAGGCAACCTCAGCCATGCCAGGAGGGCTGCCTGACCCCCACAGCTGCGGGACAGGGGCACAGAGATCAGGAGTTCAGGGCCAGGCTTGGCTACCCAGGGAGCTAAGCTAGCCTGGGCAGTAGAAGACCATCACAAAACACCACCAGCCAACCTCAGGCAGACCCGGAAAGATCTGCAGACAGGCCTGAGCTCTGTGGAGTCACCTCTGTAGCTAAAGCTTTCATCATGGAGCCCCAAACAGACTCTGGACCCAAAGGGACAGAGAACAGCTCTCAGGATGGTTTTCTTGAAGAGGAAGCAAGGGGGCTGCAGGAGGCTCACACCGGCCTACGCCCACTCTGGGGACAAACTACCTCATGTTCTCTGTCCTGTTGCTGACCCCCTCTATGTGGCCAAGTGAAGCCAGCCACTAAGTGCTGCCTCTAATGCTTCCCAGTGAGCTCCTCCTGGATCCCATCAGGGCCTGTGAGGACAAGAACAGGACCAGCATCCTACAGTCCAGCCATGTGGCACAGGGGTCTGAATGAGATGAGACAAGTGTGGCTAACTCACAAGATAAGGACATGAACTTACTCTGTAGCCATCGCTCATGGCGAAGCCTCAGTTTTTCCTTCTTGGGCAAAATGGTCTTTGGCTCTGTACCTGAGGAGAGAGAACACATGAGTGAGTAGTGAGGTCAGACAGTATCTGTTCAGCCCCGGTCCCTCCACCCCTGCAGAGACTAAGGCCAGGGACGAGGCAGGCTGTGACTGCTCAGGTGATGAACAATCCTGAAACCTCAGCCTCAAGGCTCCACACAGCAGGGGGTCCCTGGGTTGGTCTCCAAGCTCGGCTGGGCCCCCAGTGTACTCGGGGTAATGTGAGGTTGCCCCGGCGCCATCCCCAGGTCCTGGCCATGACATACCTCCACCTTGCTTGACAGCATTAGAACACAAAGCCTGAGAACAAAGTCCCCAGGAGAGCTCCCATCACTGAACACCAGCCTACAGCCTCTCATCTCTGGCTCTCCACCCTATCTTTACCGCGGCAGCTTCATCTGCCGAGTTATGTCCTCTCTTTCTTGTGCTCCTGGCCTCAGATAACCCTCTATGGGGTGTTGGCACACCCCTACTGTAAGGGCTGAACTGTATTCCAAAACCATGCGCTGCAGCGCTAACTCTTGGTTCTTCAGAATAGAATGCCAGGCAGCCAGGCATGGAGACTCATGCCTGTTATAATCCTAGCACTCAGGAGGCTGAGGGAGGAGAACTGCCATGAATTTGAGGCCAGCCTGGGCTAGAATGTAAATTTCAGCTACAAAGTAAGACCTTGTCTTAAAACATTTTTCCAAAAGGAAAAGTAATATTGCTGTCTTTGGAGACAGGGAGTGATGGTTAGTTCTGCATGTCAACCGGACATGACGGGAAGGTAATCTCAATGAGAAATCGTCTAGATTATGTTGGCCTAGAAGGGATTTCTTCATTGGACTGGGGCGGGAGGGTCCACCTTGAATACGGGTGGCACCACTGCATGGGCTAAGCGCTGGACGGAACGAAAAGCAGAGGGCAAGCTCAGCACTGCAGGCCTGCATTGATGCATGCTCTCTGCTCCTGACTGCAGGTATAAAGTGAGCAGCTGCTGGAGTTCCTGTTGCCTTTCTGTCCCCAGATTGATGGGACTGGAACCTGGAACTGTGAGCCAAAGAAACCACTCCTCCCCTAGGTTGCTGCTGTCGGGTTTTAGCACAGCTACAGGAAACAGAACCAAGACGCAGGTCTTGGGGCTCGGGAGGTGGCTCACAGGTTAAGAACGTTTGCTGTTCTCGCAGAGAAAGAAGCCGGGTTCAGTTCTCAGCACCCACAGGGCAGTTCACAACCATTTGTAACTCCAGTTTTAGATCTGACACCCTCTTCTGACCTCCGCAGACACTACATACACATGGTGTACTTACATACACACAGGCTAAGTACTAATACAAATACAACAAAAACAAAATCGTTTTTTAAAGGCACAGGGGCCACACACAAAGGTAGTTTAAATAAAATGAGGTCCTCTTTACAGAAATGATTTAGGGAACATGAGGTCCCCTTTACAAACGAGGTCATGGCTCTGATCTTACTGACTGGTATTCTTATAAGGTCCACGAGACAGGTGCACTCAAAGAGAAGGCCACACAGAGAGAAGACACCATCTGCCAGCCACGGAGGACCAGCAGAACCAAGCCCTCCCTGTCACAACTGCGTTTCACAGTTCTAGCCTCCAAAACCACTAAGACAACACACATTTAAGCCACTGGATCTGTGGTACCGCCAGACAAGGCCATCTTCTCAGAAATGATGAAGAGCAACCAGTCAGGCAGAGGACTTGCAGAAGTCCCCAGTCCCTGCTAGTCACCGCTGCAGGCAGAGGGCCTCTCTATGGCCGAATGTTCACTTGCCTGGGGACATTTAAGAACACTGGCTATATCTCTACCAGGAACCAGATGACATGACCCCATTTTTTTCAAAGGAGAAACCATGGCTCACCATTGTATGCTCTGTGAAAACATCAGTTAGATCTGTGCCAATTACCAGAAGTTGGCTGATTGTGGAAAACAGACAAACAGGCTGTGTAAGCAGAAAGCACTGAGAACACGGAGGGGCTGGTCTGAGGAGCCTGGACAATGCCAGCAGGGCTTCTTCTCTGAGAGTAATCACAGCCCACTCGTAGGGACAGCTGTAGCCAGCGAGGGTCACCGCCCAGCCAGTGTAGCACCTCCTGCCTATAGCGAATAAGTAGGACTGAGCATGGAACCCAGTCATTACAAGGCAAAAAAAAAAACGCTTCACTGGTTACCGAGCTTCCAGAGGCCCACATCCTCAGGAAACTCGGTGGCATGGCCTCTTGGTAGGATGTGTAAGTCTATGAAATAAACCTGGAACCCACTTGATGGAAACACCAGGCCTGGGGGGGGGGCGGGGAGTTCACTGGTCTCAACACAATGATGGTCCGTGTCCTTGGCCTTAACTGACTTTCCCAGAGATGACATGGTTTTAGCCACAGACACATGCTCCTAAGAACAAGAGAAGGAAACACAGTCTCCTGCATCTTAAGCATGTGGATGTTCCTGGACAGTACAATAGAGAACCTGCCATGTTTAAGGATAAACAGGAGGCAAGTCCTGTCTCGAGAAGCTGGAGATCCTGTTAAGCTATTCCAGCCTTTGTTGGGGGATCAGGCACAAACCCTCAGCAGCTGGTGACTCAGTTCCTTCCCAGTTACAGCCAGACTGCTGGAGTCTTGTGTCCGTGCTTCCAGCCTGGAGCTGAGCTGCCCTCCTGCTCTCCACCCCTAATTACTCATCTTCCACCAGAAGGAAGGGCTGGGATTGCAAACCTTGGTCTGAGATGGGGCGATGGAGGGGGATGGGGGTAAGGGGGCCCAGGGCTCCGTAACAGCTCCTCCCATTGGTCGGATGGAGCATCCAATGCACTACACTGACTTCAGTGTGCCCTAGCACCATACAGCTGCCACATGTAGGTGCAATGTCAAACCACAAGGGAGGTGACAAGGCCTAAATGTGGGATGTCAGGCTAGGGTAGGGCTTGGGGGTTATCTGGGGTGCAGGGAAGCTTGTAAGAAAAATGGGTCTAGCCCAGCCAAGACAGCACCAAGAGAGAGGGACAATATGCTCAATGGTAAGACATCCCAGGGGGCCGGAAGTAATTCTCTCTAGATGATTCTTTCAACTTTCTGTAATTCTGCAGTTACTCCAAAGCAAAAAATAACACCCAAGGTCAGTGGAGACTGGCCCAAGCAGTAACATGCCTAGCACCACACAGAACGAAGGATGTTGGAGCAGGCTACCGAGAATGCTAGCTAGAATGTGACCCTCTTAGCCCTCCATGGCTCCAGAGAAACAGAAGCGAACAGGCTGTTCTTGCGGATGCAAAGGGTTTGGAATGCTGAGGTCATGCAGAAGCTGAAGCCCTGACACAGCCCTGGGGTCCCGCGGCACTTGGCACTGATGTTCACCCTTGCTTCATTGGACTCTGCACAGCCTAATGGTTACTCCCTGTGGGCACAAAGACAGGCCCAGAAATAGGCAGCAACCAGACACATATGGGCAGCCTCCATGATGAGGACAAGGGGATGTGTGTGATGTCAGGGCCATGCTGGTTAGAGTAAAACAGAATGAGCTGTGGCTGCTGCCCTAACGGGGAGCTATCCGGGAGCCACTGTGACAGAAACAGCAGCTCAGCCCTGGCTGGGCCGGGACAACTGGGCTTTGAAATGTGGCTGCTTCCAGGCTTCTCCTTGACCACCACTTGTCACAGTGTGAGCTGTAGCCCTCACACTATGAAGGAAGGAGACAGGGCCCAGCAAGCATTTCTGAGGAGTGACAGTAGTGACAGCCATACTGGAGCAGGACATCACAACACCCCCACCCCAGCTTCTTTACCAGAGGACCGGAACTTGGAATAGGTGCCAGGATTACAGAGCAGGCTGGGCCCAACTGCAGAACCGTGACCCCTCGAGGATGAGCAAAATGTCTAGAATGAAACTTGCAACACAGTTGAGACCTAAACCAATCACCACTGGCCAGGCTGAAAGCAGGACCAGACAGGCAGGAAGGGCCAGAGCAGCAGTAACATCAGCTCCATACCAGTATCTTCAGAGCATGAGAGACGGAGGTGTCGCCACCTGGTGCTCCTGGGCTGCTCAGTACCCATAGCACCCAGGGAGAGGGGCAAGTACTCCGCAATGGTCAGCTTTTTATTACTGCGACCAAACAGCTGAGATAAGCACACTGGAGAGGCTGAGGCAAGAAGACTGCCGTGAGTTCAAGGTCAGTGTGGACTAGAGTGAGACTTTAACATTTTGTTTGTTTGCTTAAAAAGGAAGTGGCTGGATAGCTCAGGCGGCAAACGTGCTTGCTCTGCAAGTCTGACCAAGCTGACCATCTGAGTTCAAACCCTGGATCCCACAGTAGACAGCAACAGTCAACTCCCTCAAGTGGTCGTATGACCTCCAAACACATGAGGTGGCCCATGTGCTTGCACATGTGCGCATACACACACACACACACACACACACACACTGTACACACAGAATAGTAATAATAAATTAAATGAAATTTTAAAAAGGAGGAAGGGCTGGGTATCATGGCTATTTGTAAGGGATCATCTAAATGAGACTAACTGAGACGGGAAGAACTACCCTAAATACAGGCAGTACTGTTCCATGGGCTGGAGGCCTGGACTGCAGAAAGGAGAAAGGGATTGAACAAGGCATTCATGACCCTCTGCTTCCTGACTGTGGAGAGGCAGTGGCTCAAGGAGGCATCTGGGCAGCAATGGGCCACGAAGTCACTGGGGCTGTCAAGGCCCTAAAAAGATGCCATCTCGGTGTGGAGTTTGGGAAATACACAGGGCAAGTGAATCCACAGGGAGGCAGCCAGATCACAGGCAGAGCCCAGTAATGGGACAGGAGCTGCTGAGCACAGGGTGACATCTGCACACAGCACACTCAAGCCTTTCTACTTCTTGTCCACCCTGAAGGTTTATCTCAAAACCTACAGCTGCCCTCTAGCCTAGCTGCTGATGGGAGACGGGAGTGAGGAGCAGAAAGCCTCAGCGGAGCACCGCTGGTCAAGCTGCGCAAACAGCAGGAATATGCTGAGA